GTTGTGTGTTTTCAACACACAAAAGTAAGGAAACTTATGACTTGAAATGGAAGGAGCGGAGTCATTGGTTATGAGACTGACTATATTTCTGCTGCCCAAACTGATTATTAAGGACCAATGAATGGATTTTCTTGCAATGACTCTCTCTGTATATACGTCCTATTTGCATTCAGGGAAAAATCAGTAACCATGCTAGGGGTTTAAGAAGGTTTCTCGATTGTGAAAGAGCCCAAGGTCTTCTGTTTCATATGTAATATAAAGCTTCACTTCCCATCCAAATCTTGCTGAATAAATGCCCTGAAAATAGTTTTCTTCAACAAACTCCATTCTTCCTCCTGGACTATGGAAGTCTAGATTGCAAAGCACCCTGGCAGTCTTCATTCATTTTTCCTGTAATTTTGTTATGCTATAACCAACATCAATACAAATCAATTCTTTGGAGGCAACAAAGGCTTCAGCTGGAAGCATTTTTCTTTATTTCCATTCACAGAGAAATGAGGGGCTGTTGCTCAGGTCTACTAATTAAAATACAGTAGACACAGGCAGTTCAGCACCACTGATAGGTGCTGGAATAACTCAATAACAGAAAATAATGAATGTTTTAATTCAAAGAAACATCCACTACTAGCTTTAAAGAGTTTTTTCTACTTTTAAAGGTTGTATCACTTTCAGCATATGCAGCCCACATGCAGACTAAGAGTGAGACAAGCCATTGCCAGTTCAATATTTACAGAGCCTTAAGAAATGACCACCGCAATGTCACACTCCTCTATAATGTGATTTGTTTGATAGCAGCATATTGTGCAAACTCAATAAATTGTAGTTTATTCAAGAAACTACTGTTCAGCAAACCACATAATATGTGAACTGGTTTGGTACAGGCAGGTCTTTAAAATGCATGGCTTGTTATTTCCAGAATGACTTAAGCTACAACCTAAATGATACCAATGAACCTTGTAGCGCAAAAAAAAAAAAAAAACCTAGAGATCTTAGGAGAGTGGGTCTCAGTTGTTTTGTACTAAGAAAGTATTTTATACAACCTTTTCATCTGACAGCAATCAGAACTTGACATATTATAAGAGTTATACATGGCACATACATTCTCTTTCTAGATAAAGTTTGTTCTAAATTCCACAATCTTCAATTAACTCTATATAAGCATAATCCTACATTCTGAATGTGCTTAGAAATACTGCCCATGATTCTAGTATGGTTGTCCACTTCAAAGAAACATCCACTACTAGCAGCTCTAAAGAGAGCTGTAAATTGGAGTTGGCCAACAATAATTTTTCAGCAGGTTGAAGGGCGTTCAAGGTCTTGCACCCTTACATAAATGTCATCTTAATGCATGTAAACACATTTTATTATCCCTGTTAGAAACATTATTAAGACTTGCTTTCAAAATACAAACACTGTGTGAAGATCCCCACCACATAGTTGCAAGTCTTATTATGTTTGAACTAGCCCAAACAAATTGAACACCTTCGCACCAATACCACACACTTGGAAATTCCCATGTGAGCAAACTAAAGTAGCCTTCCCCAACCTTATGCTCTTCATATGATCTGGGACTCCAAGTCCCAGAATTCTCAGCCAGGATTGGAGTTTGGTTGAGAATTCTGAGAATTATATACCAAATATATGTGAAAGGCCCTAAATTGGAGAATGATGCTGGCCCAAATTATTGCCTAGTTACAAAATACCAGCACACACTATAAATTACCATTATATGTAAGCGTTTTAAAGCATTAAATGAAATTACTGGGACTTTCAAATTAATATGCCCATAAAGGACTATCAAAATTAGCAATTATGAACATTACCTTTTCAACCCCAATTAAGGCACAAGCCTTTGTTACCTCCCTCCTTTATAAAGTTACATATTGCCTTAAGATCTTAAAATATATCTTTAGGAAACATTATTCATATTTACATGTTAAAACACACAAATTTCACATTTCTAACATGTCTGTGCAGAACAGAAACTACTCTCATTTTTGTTGTGCCACAGCTGAAGATTCAAGCCTTCATTTCTAGTTTGTGATTTTATTAAAGAGAAGAGTGACTGACTTACTTTATAGGCATTCCAAAAACAGAACTTCAAGCTGCAGCTTTGTTTACAGGTATTTAAAACTGCAGTAACCTGCAACCAAGACTACAACGAAGACTTTAATATGGAGAATAATAAAATAGTTTTGGAGAGAGAAGCAGTTTCTGAAATACTAGGTGAAACCAACACAGATATTCTCAGCTGCGCTTGTCCATCATTTATCATTGTTGCTAACCATGATGACTGCTTTTGAAGTTTATAAGCATC